GAGAGAAAAGCACCTCCAATAGTGTCTTGTCATGCTTCAGTCGCCACCACCACCACCACCACCACCACCACCACCACCCCCCACACCAGCCTTCTAGCTAGTTAGGATCTTGGGCACTCATATCCAGCATGTTTTTGGTTGACTCAGGATCTAAACCCATAGTCAGCCATGTGGCTTCCAGCATTGCAGATCAGTACACTACTGCCTGCACCACTGCAGCTGGGCCTGCTTTTGTATTTTAATGAAAAATGAAGACAAAACTCAACCAAGAGGAATCCACAATTTTAGCAAGTCAGTTTAGACAATCGGTTAGTTAATACTGGCAGGAGGTTCACTATGTGGAAAACACTATGAAAGGCACTCTGGCATCTGAACTTTTTAGACACTATAATCTATTTGGGCTATCCAATCATACAGATGATCTCAAACTCGCAGGGCCTCTGGAATAAACTATATAGCAAAAAACGACCCATCATTAGTTGAGTACTAGCTATGGACCAAGTGCTGTGTTGCCAAGTACTTCTGAGATGGATTATCTCATCTAGCTTAGGAGGTAGGTACTATTATTATTCCCATTTTACAGATGGGAACACTGGGGCACAGAAACGTCAAGTAACCTACTCAATGCCACAAAAGCCAGAATATGATCCCATGCAGTCTACCTCTAACATCTAGGCACCTGCATACTGCTCTATTCCTCTTCTACTGGGACACAGAAGATGGAATGACTGGATGGAGTGGGGCTACCAGGATAGGCTTCCTAAGGGCAGTGGGTTTCTAAAATTTTATTTATTCATTCATTTATTTTTTATTTGATCAGACCCCCCACACACACACACAGAGAGAGAGAGAGAGAGAGTGAGAAGGCAAGCTACCAGGTCTGGGACTTGAACCATGGTTGGCCATGTGGGAGTATCCAGCGCTTTAACCACCACACCACCTGCTGGTCCCAGGGCAGGGGGTTTTAAGTTGATTGTTTTATGGTTCTCTATTCCTGTCATTATCCATTGCCTCTGCTTTGAGGGCTATCACTGACCAGCATTAAAAAGTAAGAGGCCCAGCTGCAATGGCATAGTGTGCATCACACCATGATGCTAGAACCATAAGGAATACTGGGATTTGGTTCCTGGGTCGACTTGTGCATGCTGGTGTGTGTATATATGCTTGTGAAACTGGTTGGCTGAGAAGGCTGGGGATATGATCACAGCATAAAACCCTATTGAAGGTCTCTCTCTCTCATATAAAAAAAAAAAAAAAACTTTAAAAAAAGTAATTTCAGAAACCCTGAATCACCAGCCATCTCTGACAGAGGGTTAAGTGACCATGAAGGAGCCACTCCAAGGAAAGCCCCTGGCTCGTTTCCAAGATTGGCCAAGGAATAATCAGTCATGCCACATGCATGTAATGGAACACTATGCCACCATTAAAAGTATGATGTGGGTTGATATTTACTAGTATGGAAGATGACCATGCCATGTTGATAAATGGAGTATTATCCCAGTGAAGCTTAAGATACAGGCACATATGTAGGAAAGACTAGAAGGATACATGACAAAACATCAATAGCATTATCTCCGATTGCTGAGATTTCTTTCTTTTTAAACATGTCTACTTTTTCCGAATTTTTTCAATAATCAAATATTAATTTCATTGTCAGAAAAACAAAACATTTCAAAGCTTTTTCCTATGAAGAGTAGAACATAGTGTGAAGAGGAGCAAGTGGCAGGCTCCCAAGGACAAGGAGAAAGTACGTGTGCAGCAATAACTAGAAACTTTCCACACACCTTTAACTAACATTATTATAGCACCACCAGATCATAAAAGTTTATTTTCCTTTTCATTGGATAAACTGAAATTATCCTGGCTTCGCTGCAGTTAAAATTTATATCTGCTGGGTTTCTGCATGCTTGAGTTGTAAACAGCTCACTATTCCACAGCTTTACATGACTTTATGCAAGAGATTCAAACACACTGTACCATCCTTACAACTGCCATCCATTCTGAAGTGTACCAGGGGCCCTTGGAGCAGCTGCTGCTGTGGCTTCTGTAGCTACATGAGGCCAGGTCCTGCACCAAAGATCTCAAATAGGACATCTAAGCTCTGCCTCTGTACCTATCACAGCTGTCACCACTTGGCACCGTATTTGCCATGCATGCAATGCATGGACTCATCCTACCTTGGCAAATTTAAATGGGCTTCACAAAAAAATAGGAATCTTTTCAAAAGCAGTTCACTGTCTTTTTTTTTTTTTTATCATTGTGGCCAAATACACATAGCATAAAATTTACCATTTGTGACATTTGGTACATTCACAATATTGTGCAACAATCACCTCTAATTCCAAAACATTTCTCTCACTCCGAAGGAAACTCCGTACCCATTAAACAGTTACTCCACTTTCCTCTCTCCTGCCAGCCCTTTCCCTGTCTCAGCAACCACTAATCTGCTCTCCATGTTTATGCATTTGCTAATTCTGTTAATTTCATATAAATGGAATCATATAATATGTGTTGTTTTGTGACTGGCTTCTCTCACTTAGTATAATGTTTTCAATGTTCATCAATGTAGCACATATATGTCTTCGTTCTTTTTTGTGGCTGAATAATATTCCATCATGAATGCACCACACTTTGATTATCTACTCGTGCACCCCCAGACACTTGGGCTGTTTCCACCTTTTGGCTAATGTGAATAGTGCTGCTATGAACATTTGCATGCAAGTTTTTATTTTAATACCTATTTTCAATTATTTTGGGTGTACATACACAGGAGTGAAATTGCGGGTCATATGGTAATTCTATGTTGACTATACTGGCAAACTGCCAAATAACTTTCTGCACACTATTTTTGCTTAGTAGCAATCATAAAAACAAAGGTCTACCTCCCAACAAGCATAGTCCTTCCTCACCAACTTCAGAGTAACCCTGAAGTCACATCTGAGAGCAAAATCTGATCTCAGTACTTCTTGCACAACCATTTAAAGAAAATAAAAATATATTTTTTAAAGCAGCTGTAGGGCCAGCCCCTAGCCTAGCAGTTAAGGGACTTGGATCCCACATGGCTGACCTTGCAATTTGAGTCCTAGACTCAGAGGCTTGATAAATACACTGTGCACATATGCACATGTGCCAAAATTCCCAATAGGATGGAGAAATAGAGAAGAGACTGGAGCATGACTATGCCCTATTGGGGATGATTGCTCCCTCTCTCTCTGCCTTTTTGTATCTTTTTCTCTTGTGAGTGCACATACCCTCTGGAAAATTAAAAAAAAAAAGCAGCTGCAATTGAAATGATCTCACATTCTATGATTACTAATACTAATCTTTAAAATTTTAAATAGATTTTTGCCAT